CCCAGCCCTGGAAGTGTTCAAAGCTGGGCTGGATGGGGCTTTGAGCAACCTGGTCTAGTGCAACGTGTCCCTGCCCATGGCAGGGGGGTTTGAACTAAATGATCTTTAAGGTCCCTTTCAACCCAAACCGTTCTTTGGTTCTCTGATGGGGCTGACACAGAGCACTGGGTAACAGAAACACAGAGGGACTAAGTAAAGGCACAGGGACAGGACCACCTTTTTGGGAGGCACTACCGAATAGGGGCTGGTGGAAATGCACCTGTTTTCCTCCATGACTCCATAAACCCTGAGCACTGTGGGCATCAGCCAGGGTACATTCTTGGAGTGGGGAAATATACCCACCTGGTGGATCTCTCACCAAGCCAATGAGAAACTGAATATTACTGCTTGCAGAGAGATCATACCCTTCCAGAGATAAGGGTTGGTGCCTCTGGTGTCTGACAAGCTGCAATGGATTGCCAGTGTCCCACCAGTCCTGCTAAGCAGGGCTATGGCCAGGCAGTCCTGGAAGGTGACTTTTGTCCAAGTGACCATTCCTCATTACAGAGTACTCAAAGCTCCTCTAGGAGAACATTATGTACTGATAATACAGTCTCAAACCCACACAGCAGAGATGGCAATGGGGTGAGAATTGCACCTCATGAGCCAATATCTTTTGTAAGTCTTTGGGTGTAGTTAGTCACTTTTTCAACTCCTGCAAATGGTCACAGAAAAGGTGTTCCCCAGTTGAGTTGCACGTCATGGTGAGGGGGAAAGTTTCTTTTTTTTTTTTTTAATTTGCTTTAAATCTGCTTAAGTTTAAACTTTGCTTGGTGCTGCCAGGTCTTACAATGGAGGAGGTGGTGAGTGCCTATCCCACAGTGCTGTAGAGGAGACTAGACCTCAGCTCCATACAGCCAGTGCTGTCAGCTGAGAGCTGTCCCCCCTCCCTGCACAGGGCCGTGGGTGCCATCCAGAAGGGGTCACAGGTCATCCAGGGGATCACTTTCTGACTTGGTTTCAAATTGCCTAAAGGATATTATTTTCTGTTTCCAAGGAGGAGCAAGAGCATCTCAGTGCAAGGTGGTTTGAGATGTTCAATCTGCTTGTCAATACAATCAAAGTGAACTGGGCTGGAAATGCCTGAGTTTATTTTTTTTTTTCACAGCAAATAGACAAAGAGCAAAACATTTATGGGTTGTTTAGAATTTTTTTTCTATGTTTGTATCAATTTGGTGCAAGCAGCAGTGTTTTAATGTGAGACTCTCCCATCAGGTCTGTTCACCTCACCCTAACCTGTCCCTTCTTGCAAGCTTTTACTGCCTGCAATGGGAAATCAGGTTTTCACTCTAAAATACTAGGAAAATAAAAAAAAAAACCCCTGCCTTTGTCCCTGACCCTGTGTGATTAGGTCTTCTGTAACCTTCAAGCAGTCCTGGGAACAGTCCCATCAGCTCCTGCTCCAACAGCCACAGCAATGTTTTTATGCCTCTGTTGTGGCAGCTGAAGGGAAAAAACATCGATTGGATTCCACTGGCATGAGAAGATTAATCATTCGCCTGGATTTCCAACCAGACTCTTCCACCCTCTGTAAAATCTTGGCATTAATATTTAAAATTCTTCTGACTGCTCTATGCTTTAATTAGCAAGTGGAAAACTGCCTGACCTTTGCCAGGAAAAAAAAATCCTTAAGATCAAAGTAGGCTCTAATTCACATTTCTGCTTGCCACATTCAAAGAAACGTTGGTAAAACAAGTGTCCTCTGATGAAGATAGAAGGACATAATCATTCAGCTGCAAAAGCTGAGTGCTGTGTCCTGAGTGATGTGATCTCATTTCAATGTGGTTTAAGGCAAGGGAGAGCACTGGGTGATTTTGCCAGTACATCCACAATGTCAATTTTAGGCTTCTTATGGGGGAAAAATTATTGCCTTAAATCTTACTGTAATGTATCATTCAGGATCTGCTATTAAATAATAAGAAAACCTGTGAAACTGTGTAGCTCAAGGGAAAGCGTCAAATTCTTCTATTGCATTCTCAGAGGTGTGGGGGAAAATGTATTTGTTTTGTAAAAGGAGGAGACTTGTGAGACAATCCCCCAATACACAAATTGAGTAACCTGCAACTACCCACCAGTGCTGGATCCACCCAGGTGCAGCACAAGGACTGAGCTGGAGTGAGGGAAATAGCAGTTTCCTTGGGTAAGGCTACACTGCTAAGAAAAGTCAATCTGGAAATGACAGTCTCCAGACTGGTATTTAGGCACAAAGCTACAGACACCAAAACAACTTTGCTGCCCCCAACTGCATTTTGCTACATCCTGCCCTCTCTCCCTAGTCCTATGCTTCTTCTGCATCACAGTGAGGATTCATAACCCTGATGCAGAATCATAGAATAACGTAAGTTGATAAAGACCTCTAAAACCATTTGACTCCAGCCACAGACAGCCTGGGCCCTGCCTCCACTCCATGTTAAATAGAGTTGTAGGAAAAAATCCTAAACAAAGTAAAAGCTCAGTATAAGCATCACTGATTTTCTTGGTGTCTTTTTGTGCCTTGTCAATGCACACACACCCAAGGACCACTTGCCCAGAAATGTTTCCCTCTGGCAGATTTGGAAATTGAAGCTTCACACAAGCTGTCCAAAATTTTTAACTCGCTGAACATAGGGCTGGGCTCAGAACACAGCAGACTCCTCTGCCTGGGATGTCACCAAGTATCTGGAAAAAAACCCTTCCCATGTCCTCAAAAAGAATGCGAGAGCATGGTGGCTTGGAAAGGGAAGTTCTCAAAGGGGTTTCTGAAAATTTTCTGAATTTCTGAAAGTTTTCTGAAAATTATTTTTGAGTCTTACTGGCATTTCTCAGAAATGTCCCATCTGAGCAGCATCAGTTAAAAGGGTCCCAGTTCTGCTATAAGAGGTGTACGAAGCTACTAGAACAGTTTGTCCATATTATGGAAGGCATCTTTATTCTCCTTGTGTTTAAGAAATGATGGGGAGCATGGACCTAGTTGACCACACAACAGAAACCTGTATTTTCTGAGAGCAGCCTTGCCTGGAGAGATGTCACCTACAGAAGGCAGAGCTGCGATTGTTCTGGAGACCCAGCTGTGAGGCAATACAAGGACACTCACAATTGTACCTTCAGTAGTGAAACTGCTCCATCTACACTGAAGGAGATCTGATGTTTACTCATCTTCTTCATGAACAGAGATGGCATTATCTATAAAAACTAAAAATCTGTTATTGTAGGCACTCTTTGCTTTTATTATTAGGTTTCTAAAAGATGAAAATTTCTATGTGCCTTCATGCACTCCCTGGTGGAAGTATCTACCACACAGGAACCCAAAAAAGCAGTAATCTCAGCCTTGTGCTAGATTTAAAGTGATTCTGAAAAAAAAAACCCAAATACCTCTCCTTTAGTGGAGGATTCTCCTCAGTGGCAGATGTCAACATCTTCACCATCATGTCCAACAAGGTGAACGATGAAGGTCTGCAATGGAAGCAAACTCATACAGCCTGAAAAGCAGCTGAAAGAGGGCAGGTAAAGCATATTAATGATCATCCATCATCAAAGAAAGATTGCAACCTTTGCTGTGGGATTTTCCACATATATCTTAGTCAGGCCAGAACGTCATGGATTGGGAGGGGAAAACTCAAGATCTGGACTGCTGAATTCCACAGCTTCTAAAGTAGCTCTGCCAACCAAAACCCCAGGGTGGCAGCAAAAGATGGGTACATGGGGGAACATCCCTGCCTGCCTACTCCCTCGGGCAGGAGTAAGCACTGCCCTGGATGTCCAGTGAAGGAGCTGTTCCAGAGTAGAAGCAAAAGGAGGCACCCAAGGGCTGTCACTGCAACTGATAAGACAGAAGAGAAGACAGGGGACAGCTAACACTGGGTGGACAGAGTTGAGGGAGAGATGAAGAACTAAGAGAAACTGGGGCAAAAGGCTGCTGACAGGGAATGTGGGGGTCTGGGTGTAAGATGGGGACTACAGCCACAGAGTGAGATGCACAGTAAGGGCAGCAGTGGGGACGGAGAGGAACTCCAGAGGAGCCATACATGCAATCAACCTCAAGGAAAGGTGAAAAAATTGCCTGCCACAGGCGCTTGCTTCTGGGGACCACAGATAGGGTATCAGCCACCTGAGATGCCTGCAGGGAGCCAAGCACTGTTGCCCTGAGCAGACTCCCTAAGGACATACAACCCTCTATCACAGAACTGTGACATTCCAGGTCAACCCACCACTTCCCACCATTTCCTGAACAAGCCTCCCTCTGTATTTCCCCTTGCAAAATCAACTTGCAAGAAGTTTGATGTGATCAAAGAGGCATCCATCAAATGATGTAAAAAAGCAACCAGTCGTGCCACATCAGGTGGCAGAAAATGCTGCCATTTCAGTCCATGCAGCCCAACCATCTGGGCCATGCAGTGGACAGAGCTGAAGGTTCTTCCCTGTGGCTCTTCCGTGTCAGCAGACCTGGCAATGTGGTTTTCTGTGTTTAAAAAAGAAACATTAAATAACATTTACTCATATGAGTTAATAATAATGACCCGTGGAAGCACAGAGGTTGTCAGCTGAACTGCTTTGGTGTTAACCTCATCACTTACACTGTGTTAGGTCTTTATTGTGCCACAAGTGCCCACAATTTAAATGCTCGGTCACATTCCTGGCATTCCTTCACCACCAAGTATTACTTGAAGGGTTAATGGTTTTAAACTGAAGAAGGGTTAATTTAGATTAGATATAAGAAAGAAGCTTTTTATAATGAGGATGGTGAGACACTGGAACAGGTTGCCCAGAGAGGAAGTCAATGTCCCATCCCTGGAAACATTTAAAGCCAGGTTGGATGGGACTTTCAGCAATCTGGTCTAGTGGAAGGTATCCCTGTTAAGTGCAGAGGACTTGGACTAGATGGCCTTTAAAAAGTCCCTTCCCATCCAAACTATTGTATGACCTTATGACTCTATTTCACTTACAACTCCAGGGAGCTTATTAGTAACAACATGGTCAAAAAGTCACTTTTTCAAGCAGCAACTGTTTATTATTGGGAAGAACATTAGGACTTTATTTTTTTTCTCTTACATATATTCAATTTGACTAAAAATAATTTAAAAAATTTTAATTTATTTTTATATTACATGAGAATAACTCAAAACAAGGACTGTGAATTTTGGAAGCAAGAAACATAGACAAAACTCTTATTTAGCTGCTGAGATGTAGTTCTTGGATTTTTTTTCTCAAAAAAACCCTCAAATAGAGAAACAATCACAATTGTCATTCCAGTGAAGAAACTTAATCCATCTATAAAATATCTTTAAGTTTGAGAATGGTATATAGTTACACTAGAAAGTATTCATAATATAGTATGTGAGTTTTAATATACCACCTAAAATATATAGCTTCTCAAACTTTACAAGGTCAAATATTTCAGACCATATTCCAGTGGAAAAACACTACAAACCTATTACAATCATTTTAAAGTTCTTGTTGAATTAACTTTTATTTCCTTTTGAGGAATTTTAATATAATATTTCAAGCAATAAAATATTGCATACAAACTAGCTTGCCAAAATTTATTCACACTAACCTGGACAACCACTGTTTTAAAGGATGAAGCACCTTTAGTAACAGTGATAAAGCATCACTGTTAGTGTAGCTGATGAAGAAACAGATTTTGTGCACAAATTGGTACAATTTTCACAACAATTCTGTAAATCTGATAAAAATTACTGCATATTCTGTATTCAATTAACCGGAATTAAAATATGCAGGGGGCATATCTGGGGCAGGATTACAGTGTTACAAGACGATGAGTCTATTAGTTAGTCCAATTCATGTCACTTGACAAAGACTTCCAATAAAACACTGATTTCTTCTTCTTTTATTTTTAAAATACATGCAACCTACTGCAATTTCAATTCCCTGGCTTATCTTGCCTCTTTTCAGCTGAGTGTGAATATAGTTCATTTTTTCATTAAGTTCTAGGGCAATGAACATCATTCAGCATCACCTGAATGGATTCTAAATAAAAAAAGCCCCAAAGAAGTTAAAAAAAAAAGGCAATTAGCACATCAAGGTCTCACTTTAGAAGACAAATCTGCAGAAATATGCACGGTAAAAATGAGATGGACTTTGTGTAGGTAGTTATTTGCATTGAGTACCATATCAAATTCAATGTAACTGTGCCAGTCATGGCTGTCTGATGGCCTGATGCAAAACCATTCTTCACCGAGTACAAGGAAAAAACACTATTAATACGATTGTCAAAACTGTTCTCTTGTAACAGTCTAACCTCAGGGGTTAGCTCTCTTCTAAAGAAATGCTTGAAACGCTGGCTGGCGTAGCAGCCTGACAAACAACCTGATGCCATCTAAGGAGACAATGTCAAGCCCTTTTAAAAATAAACATTTCACTTCAGTATATTTGGGGGGGGTGTTGTTTTGTTCTTGGCTTTTTTATTTTTGTAACTGTCTGCTGTTTCCAGCACCATCTCAGAGGCTGGAACGTTTCATTCCTTCCTCTGCCAGCTTGTCCTTTTCCACTTGGCAGATGCTGACCACCACACCCACTGCTCCTTGGAGCGCAGCAGCCACCAGGACCGCCTTCTTGTTTTCCTTGTCTGTTATCTATATCATCAGTGGAATTTACAGCCCTGGAATGTGATTTCTGAATCAATATGCATTTTCTTTTCCTAAGGAATGCCTTATTTTGCAACCACAGCTGTGCAAAAATACTCTAATTTTAACTAATGAGTGGGTAGTGGCTCTTTTGAGACAAATCAGTGATGCAATTTAGAAAACCACGCAGGCATTTTCACCTATTTCTAAGACCAGGTAAAATTTTGGACCTAAACTATGCCAGTTGTCTTTCTTTCTAAATTAATAATAACTTTTAGTTTTACCAGTAAATGTTCTATTGGTATGAACTACAGAGTTTTTGAAATTATGATGCGTATTTATGTTTTACTTCTCTAAATATATTACTCATTTGTTTAATTCATTCAGGATTCTACCATACTGCCAACCAATACAGTAATCCAAAAATATTTTCTGCTTATAGAAGGGGTTAAATCACTAAGCCACACCTTCCTGCAAAGCTGCAGTATTTTCGATTGGTAAAAAGCATTTCTCATTGAAATAATACTGAAGTGGAGCCCTAGCCCTCCTCCATACATACGACTGTCAAGTTAATTAACTTTTCAGGACAAAATGCTAATCACATTCAATGACAAGCCAGGCTGTTGTGTTCAAGACAGCTCCAGCGGTAGCTCTGGTGGCACAACTGTGTATCTTGGGTCAAGCTTAGGTGTGAAATCCTTGAAGTTCTTAGATGCTTCAGTGCCAAACACATCTAAAACTTTTCTGTTCATGAGAGCAAACCTGAAAAAGAAAAGACAAGAGAGCATGAACGCAAGATTAATTTACTTATGAAAAAATAAAATCATTGTTAAAATTATTTCACTTCATAAAAGGCTACCAAAATCTCTGAAATACAGGTTTCAACCTGCACTGTTCAGAGATCTCAAGTTTTTCACATCAGGCAATAAAGATTTAAAAAAAAAAAAATTTGACAAATGTGACTAATAGTCTTTGTGCAGGTATACTTCATATAATGCAACTTGTGAAAAAGGGGAGAATCCCTTTCAACTTTTAACCACAAAAAAAAAGGTCAAACCAAACCATACTACTGTTCTCTCTCATTCCAGCAAAGCAAACTCTAGACTTGCCTATCCAAGTCTGGATGACAATTTTATGGGTGTTACAACATATTTCCATTTCGTTACTCTTCAAAACCATAGACTGAAAAATTTATGAAATGTCAAAAGAAATTCCCTCTATGAAGAGAGTATCCAAATTTCTATTACAGAGATTTGCTTCAGACAAAATAAATGAGCAGAACAGAATTTCTTTTCCCTCCTCTCTTTCACCTAAGGCAAGCTTTGGATTAAGACAAGATGGAAAAATGCAGACAAAATTGGATATCTGCACTAACATCATCCCCTGTATCATGTTTGTATGGCCTCAGAGGCTGCCTGCAGATGGCCTCCAGGCATCCCAAGGAAAACTTCCCACTACATCTAGCAATGCATTCAGTCATCTCGTGTGTGTACTGTGCCATGGGGAGTGTAGGTTCAACATGGCCCAGGGATTGGCCTCTAATTTCACTTCTATTTTTATAGTCCAGTGAGTTTGCTGTCACAACAAATGTTACCTTTTACATTCCCATTCATAAACTGATCTACATCAAGATCTGGATGCCATTAAGATCAAGATGTTTCCACCACATGCTGCACCAGTATAACAGTGTACACTTCACTAAACTGTATTTTTATAAATCAGTTACAGGAAAATCTATTTTAAAAAGAAAACTTTTTAGATCCCTGCAGCAAATAATAGACAAAATATCCAGTTAAGATATTAAAGTGTAAATTTATGATTATGATCAGTGAAAATTTTTCATTTTTCAATTTTTCATTTTTCCAGGGAGGAAAAAAAATAATCCTTTTCCAACTGAAACAGATGTCCTATAAAAAACTACTGAAACTTTAAAGTATTCTTAAGAGACATTCCAACATTTCCAGTAATGCTTTTAAACAGAGTAATTCCATGTTGTTGATCACTGCACATAGTGAGTGATTTCTTCAACATGTATAGTTGTTTACTGGATTCTTCATATTCCACTGAAATCTGAAAGCATTCCACCCTCCGAGTGAATTAGAGATAAAAAAGGCTTCAATTAAAACACTTATCTGCTGAAAGTCTTCACAAGATTTAAGTCTTTACTCCTGTCATTAGATTAAACCCAGCAATGTTGCTTCAGCAGCAAAAAACTTAAAGTGTAGTGGAAACCATTTGAAAAGCGAAGTAAATCCTCAGGAAATTAGCCCTTATGTACTTCTATGGCTCTGCTGTTGACAGTGAATGACACAGAAAGCTAAATGTGATCAATGACATGTTTAGACAAGCCATAACACCCCCCTGATTACACACCTGCCCTTTGTTAGTCGTAAAAGAAATTTCCAGTATGAAGGTCTCAGGTTCTGAACTTCCATGACAGCCTGCAAGGAGAGGATTCTATCAGAGACAGTTGACAGCATCAGGCAAGAGCTTTGTCTGCTACATTATGTTGCCAAAACTACCAAAAGGATTTCTGTGGAAATAACTTTTACTGCTTTCTGCTGAATTCAATGCTCTGTGTGACCTCCACCAGCACAGACTGATATTCCCAGAAGAGTACCATTTACAGGTGGTGGCAATTTAATTACATCTCATTGCAGAGAAAGCAACAGCAATCATCAGTCTTATATACATGATTTTGCACTTGTAGATGCAAAATTTACCTGCTACTTTGTACCCTACCTACTCTGCATTTTGTGATCTACCATTTCCTGTAGTCATATTTATATTCAACGTTACATTATCTTAAATAATGTCTTATAACCAAAATCCTTGTCTTCTCTCCGTTCCATTATTTTTCCATGTCACTTATGAATATAGTGAATAACAAACGTCTCGGCATAGATACCTAAGAAAATACATATACAGATAGTTATGGAGGTCCAGAAAACATGCAGTGGGATGTTTCAGCAGAAATAGAATAGCAATTTGTGTACCACTGAAAAGTTGCTTTTCCAGATGATGCAGAGGATAAAAGGACTGAGGATACAGGCATGGAACTGACTTCAGAAGTGCAAAAGCTTGTTTCAAATGTAAAACTTCAGGTTTTTTTACTATTTTTTTGCAGATTTTTTTTCAACTAGGCAATTAATTCAATAACTTCAATTAATTCAAGTCAGCTGAAAGTCAAAGCTTTCAGTCGATCTAAAAACCCATAAAATACTCTATTGTATTGTTTGCCTTGAGAAACTGTCCTTTCATGTGCTTATGAAAGTCTATACGTGTATTTTCATCTTCTGGGTCAATGCATTTTAAGATCCTTTCCAAAGAATTCAATGCTTTGTATAACATATTCAGCTATAAGCATATGAGAAATTGAGTCCCAGAAATGACCTTTCCACAGTGACACTCAAAAACAGGATGCAGGAGCCCCGATTCACAGCATTTTGCTGCAATCACACCATCTTTTCTATATAACCGTGTTCCTGTGCTCCTCATTTCATTCAACTTTTGACTTAAAGAACTTGATTTTCTGTTAGAGAATGACATACTTACTGCCTGAAAGCATATCGATGTAGAAATGGCATAGATGATGCTGTCTGCATGAGGAAAATAGGGAACCTTCCCTGCTTCAATGCCTTTAAAGTATATAGTCTATAAAAATAGACAAAAAATGCTGAATAAAACAAAAGTAACTTTTTACTTTTCATTTCACAATTTCAAAAAAAAAGTCAACATTATTAACTATGCCGATATATTTTTTATATGTCCACAAATGTGAAACTGATTGAGATAACTTATAGAAGTTATCCAAGATCAATCTAATAAGAAGCTATTAATGCATAGAACAGGACTAGCAACAGCTTGGGTGTTAGAGATCCTAAAGACAAAAAAGGGAAAGTTTCCTCTATTAAATTCTTCATTTTAAAAAAGCAAAAGAACAATGCTATAACTATTCCAACAAAGTGAATATTCACTGTTCTTAAACAGCTTGAAATCACATACTTTACTTTCTGAGAAAACATGTAAAGTTTATTTTCCTGAGCACAGCTTGACCTTGCAAAGCAGCACACGCCTCTTTGGTCAGTTACCCTTGGCTTGCATAAGATGATAAAAGTAGTTTAAAAAAAAAAGGAAAGAAACAACACACAGCACTTTCCTCATTTCGTTGTAGCCACGATGTCTCAAAGTCCAGAGAAAACCATGAGCAATACAAGATAATATTTTTTTTTACAACTGGTATTCTAAAAGTCAATATGGATAACTCAGAATTCTTTTTATATCACCAATATCTGAACTACCTTCAGAGCTTTGTCTAGGATAACAAGGAGCAGGAATAAACAGAGAGTATCTTCCATTTTTATGTTTAATTTTATGCATAACAAAAAAAAAGTTCCTTCTATTTATGTTCTTTTAAGTGAACTCTGCTCTGGTAATGGAGGTGGATAAATATCACTAGGGAACGAGGCCCTCAAGGTCTGCCGGAATATGTGATTCAGGATGATGCATAGTAAGAGAACATTCTCAACTGATTCCAGTGGTGCTGTTTGGGGAATAATCATGACTAAGTCTTGATCTTATGGAAAAATCACAGTAAGAAATCAAACGCTGGTTAGCAAATTATAATTACGATATCCAAACCCTATAACTTCTTTTTTGTCCTGGGTTCCTAATTTTAACAAGTTCACAGAAATAATTCAAGCTTGAAGATTAGTAATTAGAACAAAGTTCATTCCAAAGCTGGGAATTCAATCAGTTGAAGCACACTGAAAAAACAACTCCAGCTATAGACTAAAATCTAAGCCATTTTGAGTTATCATAAACTGCTGAATGCCAAAATTAGGGAACAAAGGCAGGAAGTTAAGCTGTAGCTTTTGGCAATAAATCTGCAATTAAGGACTAGGTCTGATTTATGTTTCTGGCAGAACAGACATTCTTGGAACTTTCAGATTTAAAAAATATGCAAAAGCTACAAAGCAAAGGGTTATCAGGAGATTAAGAAAATTCATGGAGAATATACATGGAGACCAGTGGATAAAGGACTTTTAAAATGAGTCAGAGAAAAGAATATAAGAAAGAGACCCCATGGCAGCAATGCCTCTTGGCACACATCAGGTACTGAAACACACCGTCACCACACAGCTTTGTATTTTACTGGAATTGCCAGACAAAGCCTACAAAGTTCATTTCCTTTTTTCTGCCTTGAGAAAATAGATGAAGACCTCTGTTACAAGGATAATAACTTACCTCTACTAATTTGGACACCAGATACATAGAGATAGTTGTACTTTTGTAAAACATCATAGAAATCCCTGCTAGACACCCTGTAACAATTAGAAAAAAAAGCACTGTTACTTGTGTTGCTGTTGCGGTATGTCAGCCCAACACACACTGCACAAGACTATTTATTTCTGTTGCTACAACACAGCTCAGTGACCTTCCTGTGCTGCCTGTCCAAATATGGTTTGTGTCATTAAAAAGTTTTGAAACTCTGAAACAAATCTGTACTTCAGTGCTCAGGAGCATGGTATCAAACTTCTCTCTTCTTTTTGGAATAAGAGACCTCTGAGGTTCCAACACGTGACAGATGCACAAACAGCAGGGAAGGGCCTGCACCACCACAGAAATTTCATGGCAAAAGGGTTCTTCTTTGGACCCAGTGGAGCCCATAATTTCCAATGTGCATTCTGTCACATATGGAAGAATTACTATTTGCACCTCACATCTCTCACATCTCTCTCACATCTCTACAGTTGAAAATTAAAGGACATGTCTATATTTGGGCACACAGTGACATACTGTTCCTAGAGTTGACCATAAACCCCACACCATTTGACTGAATTTGCCTTACAATTTTAATTGCAACCCTTTCTTTGAAGCTACTTGAAACATCACTGTCACTTTGACACAATCATGATGTACACAGTCCTATTTTCAGCACAGAAGTCTGAAAAGGGGAATGGGAGGACAGACAAGATGAGTATTTGCAGAGTCCCAACACAGGCAAAATAAACTGCTTTTCATGGACTCACCAGCTACAAGTGCATGAAGCTCATCATCTAGGTTCCGGACCCAGCGCAGGAAGCAACTTGTGCCCTGTAGGTGAAAAGAAAGCAGGATTAGCCCCATAACATTCATAACACACAGACTGGAGATATAACTCTATAAGCTAGTGATACAGCACACAGTATGAATTAAGAGTGTAGCGTGATAAGAGTGTAGTGTGATAATATCCATAATCATAGCGTCATGGAGTGGTTTGGGTTGGAAGGAACCTTAAAGATCATCTTGTTCCAAACCCCCCTGCCATGGGCAGGAACACCTTCCACTAGATCAGATTGCTCAGGGCCCCATTCAGCCTGGCTTTGAACAGTTCCATGGATAATGTATTCTCCTACTTGATAAGACTGCTATAATAGAAGGGAATTTAATTGACATGGAGGCAGCAAACTTTCCCATTGTAAGAGGTTTGTAAGAGAAATGTAAAATCACAATTGTAAATCTCTTAAGAGCTGTAGAAACTTTCATTACTGGGACATGTTCTGTCTGATTCAGTAATCCTCTTTACCACATCAAGAAACATTGAATTACATCAACAAAAACACAAGACATCAACACAACCAAAGAACAATCTTTAAAAGCACTGGTGATACTAAAGTCAGAGAGTTGGACACTGTACCCAAAATATTTCAGTGTTTTAATTTACAGATTACCACTATCATTTTTTTCAAAATCAGAGAGCAGATCAATCTAATTTGAATACCAATCTAATACCAAAGCTAATCTTGAATTCACATCATCTTCATTTGCTGTAGCTGCCTAGACTCTTTCCCATGATAAAGGCTGCTTTCAATTACACACCAAACCCCTTGAGATTTTTCCATACATCCAATAAATTCTGGAACCACAAAAACATATTAACCTAAAAAAATTAGAACTGCATATTCCTTCAGATTCAAAATGCCCCACGCATTTCCCTTTTTTTTGTCTGTGGTCCAATTTTTTTTGAGTGAATAGAATCTCTGCTGGCCTACATGCTTATCTCAATTTAGAAAAAAAAATATAATGCAACCCAGATCTGTGTAAGTTATGAAATGCAATCAATAACATATAGTAGAATCATAGACTCATAGGACCATTAGCCTGCAAAGGTCATTTAAGATCATCAAGTCCAACTGTTAACTCAGCACCCACCAAGTCCACCACTAAACCATGTTCCCAAGAGCCACATTCACACACCTTTTGAACAGCTTTAGGGGTGGAGATTCCATCACTTCCCTGGGCAGCCTGTTCCAGTGCTTGACAATGCTTGCAATGAAGAAAGATTTCCTACTATCCAATCTAAAACTCCCCTGGACAACTTGAGGCCATTTCCTCTTGTCCCGTCACTTGTTATTTGGGAGAAGTGGATGACCCCTCTCTGGATAAAACCTCCTTTCAGGTAGTTGTTGAGAGTGAGAAGGTCCTCCTTGAGCCTCCTTTTCGCCAGACTAAACACCCCCAGTTTCCTCAGCCACTCCCCATAAGACTTGTGCTCCAGAGCCTTCACCAGCCCTTCTCTGGACATGGTCCAGCACCTCAATGTCTTTCTTGTAGTGATGGGTCCAAAATCAAACACAGGATTTGAAGTGTGGCCTCGCCAGTGCCAGTAATTAATAAATAGTAAATAAAAGTAAGAGTAGGTCACCCTCATAAAATGAGCATCTGTAAGACTAAATTACACTTAGCAAAGAGCTTTTAAAAACACCAAAGTCTTTTCAGTTTTTCCAATTTAAGGTTTTTTTTCTCTAAAGGTTCTGTTCTTAAAGTTTGAGCAAAAATTTAATTTTCAAATAAACTTCAGACAGCCTATTTGCATTTTGCCATCAAAAATTTTAAACTCTGGAACCTTATAAATTCTTGTATTTACCTTTAATAATACAGAATGATCATAACTTTGCAGTGTGAATAAAGTAGCAGGTGAAAAATTGCAAGTGTGATTAAGAATATAAGAGTCCAAAAGCCACTTCAGCACTGCACTATGCAATGTATTCTGCCTTAGGGCATGTGCCTTGCCATCTTCTCTTTTGGCATAAATAAACATAATTAGATTAATTCCAACAATAATGTATGAATACATATCAGTTCACAATCTGTCATCTTATAATAGTGTAGAAGGGCAGACTTCCAAGCTGTAAGTGCAATGTCTCCTCACTACGCATTGTATGTTCTGCAATTTCCTGCTATTTAGTGTCAAATAAGAATTCCAGATATTTGAGCCAACAAAATCTGCAAATGGCTTCTCTCTGGCAACACTGCCGCTACTGCAGTCACTACTTGTGTCTGCACTAAAATGCTTTTGTGTACCAGCAATTCTCTTTGAAATCTGAATGCACTTTCTCTGAAGTACTCCCTGTCACCTGATCTTGAAACAACACTGCAAAATCCATCTGGTTTATCTGGAAATGATAGAAAAAAAAACAGGATATGGAAGACTAGTTTTCTGTTTACAATTTGATTATTGCAATAGCATAGAATTTGTCAGTCACATGCTGTAGCAAACAGCATCAGTACTGTCAAGCAGCTGGAATTTTTAGCTCTTTGTGATATTCTGAAAAGTGAAATAAAAACCATGGCATTTATCATTTCTGTATGCTACACACTTACTTTGTATATACTGACGAAAGATCCCAAAAAAGCTCCAAGCTGGAAATTTTCCTTGTTGTAGAAGAGGGAAAATAGCCGTGATGGTTGTGTAAACAGATGCCGGAAGGTGGAAGGAATCCGAAGGCAACACTGGATCAGGTAACCAATGCTAAACATCCTAATGAAGCCCTAGAGAAAAGAAAGAAAGATTTTGTGGTAAGAAACCATAAATTCAGAAAAAAGGAAAAGCAAAAGCATCTATAGAAAGACTTGTTTTTGACATCGAGCCATTTAAAACCCACTCTGCAGAGAATATGTAAAAATGCATAAATGCTTCCCCATTCCTCGTTCCCCTGTAAAATAGCAAAAGCAATGAAATCACAGACAATTGACTCCTCTTTAATTTCGATGGATTTCTGAAAGGCCTCAAGGGAGAAACTCTTTTTCTCTTCTACTCCAAAATTCTGTTCTTTGAAATAATTCTGATGACTTCATTTCCAGATTACTGACCAGCTTTTAACCACAAATGTGTTTATAGAGGAAAGCAATGCGGTGGAAAAAAAGAGCACTTATACACTCAAATGTCTGGAGAAAACGCTAAGGAGGAGAAAGTCCACCAAAAATAAATTTCAGAAAGTGTGAGAATTAGAAATTAACCCTGGTGGCTTGGCACAGACTTTCCTTGCCTGCAGAAAGGGAAAGGGTAAAACTGGGAGTTTATGTGCAGAGCTGCTAAGAAAGGATAACATGGGTTCCAATGAATTTACTTACCACTCCACCTTGGATACAGATCTGCTTTTTCTTACCTTTTCACAAAACCACACTGACTTTTTCTTTCCATATTATTCCCCCTAGTTTCTCTTATAACTTCCTCCAATGCTTCCTATCATTATTCTTACCCTATGGCTGAACTTTTCTATTAATTCTGAATAAAATCTAGTTTTGGGTTGGAAGATGCCTTGCATGAAAACTACCTGTGCACTCACCATTGGCAAATAAGGCAGGTACCTTATTCAATTCCAGTGACAAAACCAGAATTCCAGTGACAGGTACAACTGGCAGAGGGTCTGAGCAACTTTTCAGGCTCAGAAACTCACACTATTTTTACCTCCTGCAGAACTTCATAATACATCATAAAGCTCAAAAATTTTTATTGTGGTTAAACATCTAGTAATAAACTCTTCCTGAAGCAATTACTCTCTGTGGTATTCAAAAAGTGGTTTATGAGAATCAAGTGAAAGAAAATACATTCTGTCATCCAATAATCCAGTAGCACTTTTTTTTGAAGGAAAAATTTCCATTCCTTCATCTACTACTCTTAAAGTTACGTAAATTGCACATATTGCACAGCTCATTCTGTAATGAAAATGCCTAACAAAAGATATGTGAGATAGGCAGAGGTGTAAATGTGCTGTGAATTTCGTGTAGTTAAAATATCACAGTTAAGATGAACATATATTTGCACCTAAAATGAAGAGGTACCCCGTGGCATAGTACATAGCTCTCATCTTCCAAAGAAAGGCATAATTATGATGCCAGATACATTATACAAAAACAAAGTCCTAAACCCAGTAGTTATGAACAAAACCCAAAACAAAACCACAAACAACAGAATGCTATTTATGACATTTTTACCCAGGAAAGGTGAGGAAACATCTAAATTTCAACTGAAAACACTCAAATGTATCCCTGATTTTATTTCTATTAGTAGCCAACTTACAAGTGCTGAACTGAACCATGAGGTTTAGTGTTGATGAGCACAAAGCAGTGAGTATTGCACAAAATCTATCTATTTAGCTCATTACATCTACCAGGTATCACACTTACTGATGTTTGTTTCAGAGTCACAGGAAGTATTATATCTTATAATTAATGTACTATATTGTAACTTTCGCCTTCCATAAGAAGGCCTCAAAGAAGAATGGAGGTAGAATATAGGAAAGCATAGGCAGGACTCTATAATAAACATAAGTGAGAAAAGGAAACTCTGCTAAGAGCCATTTCTCAACAGAGATTTTGAGTTGGAAATCAAATCAGCCAGAAGTAGCAGCACAGTGTAACGTCATATCTCCAATACTGTTGAATAAAACTTTTTTTCTGCTTTTGAGAAACAAATTTCTTAATAATACAGTCGAGGTATTGGCTTTAACTCAAATTCAAAAAAGCATGTGTGCACATAAAGAGAGTTCAGTAACATACCAAAACCTCAGACAACCTGTTGTAATACATTAGGAACTAGTTAAGGTATTTAAAATTAATTAAGATAATTAATATTTATTCTGGGTATACAGCAGCCCATGTTCCTTCAAGAGACAGAACACTGAGACTGCAATCATCAGAAAGTAATGTCAGAGAAGTTGTGGCATCCCTGGAACTGCTCAAGGTCAGGTTGGATGGGGCTTTGAGTAACCTAGTCTAGTGCAAGATGTCCCTATCCATGGCAAGGGGGGTTGGAACGAGATGATCTTTAAGGTCCCTTCCAACCCAAACCATTCCATTATTCTATGACCTATTTTGTGGTTACTCTAGTTATTAGTAAGTTGGGAGGGTTATCCGGTCCCATCTGCAGCACCAGCAAAAAAAATGGACAACTGGACTTCTACTGCTGGCTAATGTCTCCTCACTGTAATTGAGTGGAATCCAAAGAAGGAAAAATATTGTTTGACTGCTTCTAGCAGCTTTTTTTAGACATTTGCAAACCCAAAGCTTTTTAAGTATTTAGTTTGAAGGGAAGTAAATGAACTCAGGTGGTACATCACTACTGAATGTTACATAAAAGCTATTATGGATGATGTCAACTAGCTAATGGACATTTAAATATGAAGAGGAAGAGTACTCCTGAATATCCACTTTCTGCCCTGCTCCCATGTTCTTTTAATCATTAACATGTCTCCCCCCTCACCTAAGAAAGGACAGAGAGAGCAGTGTGGGGCTGGTCTACTATAATTTAAGAAACTCACAAACTGAAATCAAATTTGGGGCTCTCAACTAGAGTAATTCAACAAGACCAACTCCATTTTAAAGCCATTTCAAGCTTATTATATTCCATAATGGTCAAATCACCTCTTTACCCACAAAGTCTCACACACATTCTTCCAGCAGACTATGAGTTTTCCACAGAGAAGAGGCATCCATTCCATGATGAGCACTAACAAAAATCCTTAGTTGTTTGCTCTAACTGTGCTTGTAAAATAATATAATGTTATGGTAGTACTTACAGATTTGAATGCTAAGCATGCAGCACAAGATGTATAAGGGTTTTGTGTCATAATAATAAAAAGCTATGAAAGCAAGTCTGGACTAACTGTAGTTAAGAATTAATTACTCTAAAACATGCCTAAGTAATGAAAGACAGTACTTTTACTATGTAAATAAGCGCAGCAGACTGAAGTTATAGTGAAGCACCATGAAAAAACAGATGCACACCAGGAGATGCTACCATCAGCAGAGATCTGGACATTCAGCATATCAAATTTGCATAAAATCACTCCTGCTTAATTTTAATCTTTGTTTTGAATATAACATTCATTGCAGTCTTGGACATTGATTCTGAAGGCCAGACACTTGACATCTATGGGGAAAACAGAGTACCCTGCAGATGGAGGCACAGGAATGTTTGCTCCCCAGAGGATTCTGACCTGACCAAACATAAGCATTCAAGAGATGGGAGACAAAATGGGCCAGGAAGCACTGAACAGCAAACATACTGGGCAAGGTACTGAACAAGCACAAAGCAAATGGGAAGTCTGTGTCCCCAAAGATGTTATGCCTTGAAGAAAAGAGCCCATGAATGAAACATTAAATGGACTTAGACAGTGATGACAGGTTGTAAAACTGTAATTTTATTCTGGGTCTGTTAAATATATGTCATACCTACAACAGAAAAGTGACATAACTATCCTGAACTATTCATGACTGTTCTACTGAATATTCTCATCAGAATTCAGCAGAATGTTAAGCACCATCTCAAATTCTATCAACTCCAGCACAACTTATATCCATGTCACACCATGGTATGCCAACACACTGCAGTATAAAAAGAGTGTTAACACAACAAAAAATCATGATGTTGTTAAACACACATGAATACATGTTGTACTACATCTATTCTGATGCTAAATTTAAGCATGGCGTTTCTGAGATAACATTAATTGTATACAAAATTTTAATTTAAAAGAGTTATTTTTGAAAGTAATATATGTCAAAAGCATCTGAAAATACTCAAATCCATTTTTGCTGCTCCCTATATAAAAACAGGTCAACTATTAAGTGATTGAGATTGTCTGGAGTCTTACCAACTCCTAAAACAGGCATAGCAGGTGGTACCACCTGTGCCAAACCGATGTCAGCCAAGGCAAATCTCTGCACAGCGCTCCTCTGAAAAAAAATGCGCTGATCACATTAATAATGGAGGATGAATTATACCACCAGAGATAAACAGCTCTTCCTGGGTGCAGCAACTGTGACCAATCTCTCGTTACCCCAAACCCTTAAAATAAATGACTGGGGGAACGAGCCCAGTGCCCGGCAGCGACGTGCCAGAGCTGCGCAGCTGCACGTGAATGGGGGCCGCCTGCCACAGCAGCACATTCCAGGTGCTTTATTTAGGGGGGAGTCACAAGTGGGCTCAGCCGTGAAGTGCATCACATAGTTAAACAAGAGCCTTGCTTACTAGTCCATTTTTTCCCACACATTTTATGTTACTCATTCACTACAGCTAATCTGAAAGACCAGAGAACTTTAACCCCCACCACCACCTCATCCTAAATTGAGAAAATCTGTTTTCAGGCTTGTCACATTTTCAACAGAAGAAGAATGAGTAACAGGCTCCTTTCTCACTTCCTAAGCACATGCTTTTCCTGACTACAGACTTTTACCCTGTCCTTGCCAGAGTTTGTCAATCGAATTTTTTCTGCACTTACTTTAATACAGTATGAGATGCAATTATCTCCATAGTGTTTACAGCATCTATGCCTCGGGCCATGTTTGCACCTGCAAAAAGCATAATGAAACACGTATTAACTCATAGCTGTTTTCAGCATAAGTGACAGGAGAATTCATAAATTTTTCTTGCCTAAAAATACATACAGTGCTATTTGCCCAGTGCTCATTCTCCCCATTACCCCACTGAAGGGCACTGTGAACTTTTATGATGCCATAAAAGGACAATAAAAACTAACAATACTTTAGTTGCATACCAAGAAAAGGTGTCTGCACACTTATTTGGATCCAATCTCTTGCCATGCTACACATTAAATGCTAAATTAAAGGACAGATTTTCTGCTGTGGTCAACAAGGAGAAGTGACATGGCCTTTCCCAGTTTGTCTCTGCTCCAGGGTTCTAGAAGGATATGTGACCAAGCATCTGTTACTGCATCCTTACATCTTTCATACCATTGTAAGGTTCACTGAAGGGCAATGCAGAACATAAAAACACACATAGATACCCTGTGAGACTTCTCTCAATCACAAGCCTTTCACTTTTTGGCTCTTTCTTCTACAATGTGGATTTTTATGTAGCTCCTCCTTTGGACTGAGAATTTGACCTTGAGCATTTAAAAGAGACTTGCTCGGGATGTTGGGATGTGTGGATTATACAGTTTCTAGGCCTGTATTACGTAGCATTAAAAGAAGTAATGTCATACCTGGTCTGAACATTATATTTTGCTATATCCAAGTATTTTAGCTTTAATGTAAAATAAATTACACAATTTATATACTGTGTCAAATATCTTGGAAGTTCTGAATTGTGTACTATAAAGTCTAATGGCCATAAATCATCTGTGAGGTCAGTTTATGCAGCAAAAATTGTAATGAGAATGTGCTCAGGTTACAGGCATTTAGACTCAATTATACTGAAAAGAACCATATGGAAGAGAAACCTCTAAGAGCACTGGAACTGAAAACTGCAAGTTTTTTGCATGTCTGAGTTGGGAATTTCAAAACCCTAAAGAAAATATGCTCTTCTTCACCTATAATCCCTCAATCCTTGTATTTAATGAACAGTGGAAAAGCTATGAACTATCTCCAGCAAACTGAAAAAGAGGTATTTAAGACAAAATAGACATAAGCAACTCAGCTAAAAGAATCTGCACATGGCTGGAGCTGCCTCTTCCTTGTTAAGTCTTTTGTTGTCTAATACAGTCACGCCTGAAAAGGCACTGCTGACTTCCCTCATATTTTTCAACTAAAACCTACAGCAAATATACAAAGCTGCCATATGATGGGGGTCACTTCATTTTTGTTCATCAACTGAGCAAGTAAGATAAGCCACTACTCTGAGGACACACTGTGCTTGGAAGACTCTCTCCTGCATGTCAGCAGATAGAGAACTGGTCATAAAACTGCTCCTGAAGAGGTCAATGGAAGTGAAGATTCATAAGTGTGGTGTGAACACACATCTAGTCCATTTTTCTCTCCATCTTCCCTACTCCTTGTGGTAGATGAAAAGCTATCTGCTGTCACTTCTTTAAGCTTATACTAAAGGACAATAAATTGGATACTGTAGACAGGGAGGGAACCTACCTTGCCTAACTTCAGATGTCTAGATCTGACCTTGTGCAAAACAGTTTTAAACTCACTCTTTGCTTCTCAATTTCCTATCTCCTGACAGTGGAGGCAGCCCATGTGCCACTAATCCTATTTTTAGGTAGTTCTCCTTTATGCCACACAGGGATGTAGGTCCCCCAAAAGACAATGTTACGGTCACTTAGGGTGACATCAGTAAGGTCTGCTGCTGTGTAATTTCTCTCCTTAATATCATCACTAGCTCCAGCAGAACCATGCCATGAACTGGTTTTGCTGAAAACTAGAAAAAGCAACTACCAGCCTGCATTCAGCATTGACTGAATTTACTCTCCTTAAGACAACTGCACATTGCAAGTCATAGCTATGACATACAGGTCGTAAGTTTTGCTTTCACTGGAATTCATCATTTGCCACTGCCAGCTACCCAGTGAAAAATTAAATAGAAAAACACTTAAAGGCAAAGCGAAAGTATTATAAAGCATTATTAAATACAACGTAACAAGACATTGAAATGCACCATGCAACAATGATTCATTTTGTTTTGTTTTTCTTTTGTTTACTTTGACTCACACTTTGTCCATGAGCTTTTTTGTTAGAGCCAGTATGTTCATTGGCTGTGATAGTTTTTCACAATGCTTGATTTTTCTATCTGTTTTTGAAAACGCTGCTTCGGGTGAAAAAGAGTGAGTGGGGATTTCTTCTTTCCCTACAATGAACCTGAAAGAAAAAGAAAAAAAAAACAGAACAAAACAATTACCTAAATAACTAAAAAAATATATCAAGTCCTGTATAAGTCTCAAAGTCTTTAAGAAAAGCTTGAAGTTACTCCTAGGTCAGTAAAAACTCATCCTATACAGCTGCCAAACCCCACACCTCTTTGAAAAGATCAGTCCACCAACATATATTTAAACCTTCAGCTAATGGACACAATTGCTGCCAGGAATTTTTTAAAACTAGGAACAAAAACATTAGTAAGGAAGTCCATCTCTCAGACAAAAGAAGAACACTAAATAAGAACATTAAAAGGCACATGAAATATCTCAATTATCTCCAGCAAAATAGGGTTACATAATGGTTGATAATTACTATAATATTTTTATAAAATATCTGTTTTACAAAATCTTCAAAATGTTTTCGCTCCCACCAAGAGCACCAACTTTGTTTTCCTTGGCTTCATCTTCAGACTTCTTTCTTCACTCAGAAGTTGATGTTGTCAATATATTGGTTCATCTCAGGCGTAGAATTACTGTGTATGAAGGGCAATGCAGGACACAATGGTAAGATGTTTCCTAGCACTCTGCACTATAATCCAAGTTACACTGTACCATGGTAGTCTTGCTGAGAGTGATGAAGGTATAAAACCTTTGTAATTCAACATGTCACTGTGAATTGGTGATTTCAGAAAGCATTGTCTCTGCATGTTGTCACAGGAGTGTTTCATGTCCATATTTCTGACTATAAATTGAATAATTTACTATTGGGACCTTCTATCATATTCCATGGCTGTAAGCTCTGTAAAATATTTCCTAAACCAACAATGCAAATCTCTTTTGCTTGACTTCAGCTCTTTTCCTCACCAGTGGGTTGCTACCCTCCATGCACTGGGCTGTCTTGAGTGATAACATGCAAGGCACAAAGATAGGGAAACTCTGTATAACACACTAGTGACTAACACCAGAGGGTCCCATAGCAAAGCAAATTCTAGGAGAGGCTGGACCACAATGGCAGACACAAGGTTTACTGCATGCTGACGATATCACAAAGAAATATGACACATACCCATGCTTTACTTGCATGTTGAGTACAGAACTATCGTTGCATTTATTAAACATTTTGTAATGCAGTAAATAACCTCCAGGTCAAAACACAGCAGTCATTTGCTTCCAGGAAAATATAGGTTATCAAGAATCCCAGTTTTAGAAAGACAGAAGATTAATGTTCCTTTAAAAATATGCAATCGCATGTCTCAGTCCTAAATATAAAAGGATTCCTCTTTTGCCAGCACACAAGACAAAAAGGCCTCAAGCTGTGCCAGAGGAGGTTTAAATTGGATATTAGGAAAAATTTCTTCACTGAGAGGATTGTCAGGCATTGGAACAGGCTGCCCAGGAAATGGTGGAGTCACTGTCCCTGAAGATATTTAAAAGATGTGTAGATGTGCCACTTGAGGACATGGTTTAGTGTTGGACCTGGCAGTGTTGGGTTAATGGTTGAATTTGATGATTTTAGAAGTCTTTTCCAACCTCAGTGATTCTATGAATATGTCTTCTCCAAAATATATTGTATATCCCAGAAGCTGAAAAAGTTTTACGACAGTACGTTTCTTCTTAGGGACACTCTTTTCTTACAGTGCATCTGCCACCATGCATGATTCCTCAAAATCTTGACTTGAAGCTACAGACTCACAGAAGCTTTACTTACTTTAGTGCAGAGTATGTAAATCCTTTCAAGCCGTCTTTGCATCTGAAAGATAAAACCAACAGTTTTCTCTATAATGGGCTGCTTGCATTACAAAGTCTTTCAGATTAAATATTGCATAGAAGGGCTGTGGATGAACACAAATTTTTCATTAACAGACAACAGCACATCTGCAACAGCTCCGTGGCTATTCTCAGTTCACAGTTGTCACCACAGCCCTGGGACAGCTCTCACACAAAGGATATAGCATCAAATGCCAGTGCTTCACTCTTTTATCCAAACTACAAGCGGAGAAATTTTTAAAGGATGGTGACAGAACCATGAGGGTGATGACAGAATATGACAAAGAACTGTTGCTTTATGGAAAAGAAGTCATGAGGAGTTTTACAAAATATAAATTTTACTGCAAGGAGAGAAAGGAGGGTTGGATCTCGATGAAATACCCACTCTTGTGAAAGGCTGCAGGGAATAGTTATTCTGACTTTGAGATAAATTGTTCTACTTTGCAAAGTGCTGATCTCTGCAGCTCCTTACTTTAAGAAGGCTCTCAATCTGAAAGTCCCAGTTTTTCAATTATATAGTGGTTGCTCTGATTCTGAGTTTGATTATATATATATATATATATATATATATCCTTCTTTACTGACTAACAGGGTTCCTTGTGTGAATAATGACCCCAATGAAGAGCCCATAATTGGCTATGAAAGATCTAGGTTATTGATTTTTTTCTGCCCAGGATATGATGAAAGGCACTGAAGCCTGCAGCTGCTACAGATTCCTCCTGAAAAACCATGTTGGTAGCAAAGAGCAGACACTCATGCTTTTTTCCCCTTTTCTTCTTATAGAATTGCATGGAGAATACATGATGATAAAAATGCATTCCTGATACAATACAGAAATAATAAACTAGTAACTTATCATCATTTCAAGTGCACACCTACTCTAAGAGAAGACAGGACATCAGTCGCAAAAGCTTTGTAAACAGAAGCAGATAGAGATAAACCTACAGAAACCACGTTGTCCCTGGAAATACTGTACCCACACAGCCCCAAGAGCAGGTGACACCACCTCCCAGAAGGCATCATGAGTGGCCAACACGTACTAGCAATGGCTGGATACACACGAACAGCAGAAAAACCATAATGAGATAAAAGATGTTCACAAATGAAGAAAGTCTTGCTTTGTCCTGGCAGGGGAGCACCTGTTGCGGAGCTAGTAAGATGTCACAGCATTAAACACTCCTGGGAAACTCTTCCCAAGGGTATGACCTTCAACACATATGTTTCCAAGGACTTGGTTTTGTCAGCATGTGCACAGTGCTAAGTATCAGGTACAGTTACACACAGCAACAGAAAATTAATCCCAAAGAGTTCCTCCTTTAAAATGACTGAAGTTAAAATACTGGTCACATTTTTATGATCAATAGGGGTCCAAGGTAAACATATACAAACAAAAATTGCTCACCATATCTTTAATTAACACAGAACTGGGAAATCAAAGATATGCAATAATTTTACTTTATATGTTTCTTTGCCCATATGTACAATTCAGAAGCTGAAACACTATAATAGCACTTTTACACAAAGATGGAATCAAAGATGGATTGAAACAACTGATGAGTGATGAAGTGAAAAAAATGAAATCAGCTTTGCCCAGAGAGCACAGTGAATCACTAGCAGAACTACAAAGAGAGCCCAAATGCACAGGGTTAACATCTACCCCACTCTATCCACAGAACCACGGTCCAGTTTCATGAGTTTGATTTTAGATCTACAACCAACTGAAGGTTAAATGCCCTTTGAGTTAAGGGTGTCCAACATATTATGCCTGAAAGCTGCCAGCTCAAGAATAGGGCCTTAGTTCCTACTTTTCCAGTAAATTAAAAGCATACACAAACTGAAATGTAAACATGCACGTAAGTGTTTCTACAATAATATTGAAATAGAAAAGTAATCACAGTACGACCACAATGATGTTTTTCCTTAATCATTCCAATGCAACTGCACTACCAGTTGCAAGTGTTCATCGATTCCTTTAGTGCACCACCAGATGTCCCTGCCCAGCTGTGCTTGAAGCGCCCTGACCAATGCTACCCTACAATTAATTTCCTTTAAACATATCTCAAAGAAACCATCAAATCCTTTCCTCACTAATACTGAAAATCAGAAGACATCTAACTCACCAAAAGAGAAAATAGCACTCTAACCTCCCACTTTTTTTCTCCAAGAAAAAAAATATTTCTAATGCCTATTCTAATTACATGATTACAGTCAACTCTGTGCAATAAGTATTCACTGTATTGGAATTTTATTAGCTATGCTTACTTTACTTATTAGTTTTCTATACATTTCTAGAGCTACAGCTATGAAAATCCCTGCAAAATGAGCCAAAATTAAATACATAATTCAATATGGAATTAATGCTAAAGATACAATTATAATTTTTCCGCATTAGCTTCTTACTTTTTTTAATTTTAACACAGTATAAAAGTGCAATTTAGGCTCTTAAATAGAATTCAATGAATGCTCCTTGCTGTCTAAACTGTCTTCTGGAAAGTCATCGTACAAAACTAATGGGTGTGTGGAAATATTGCTTATTAAGGGTTTTATAAACAGGCGTCCTAGAAAAACAATACTTTCAATCAAAAATAATTTTCTAATGTAACTCTCCTGCTCTGGCATGACCACTTCGCTCTTACAAATGAAGCAACAACCAACAACAAAACTGGAAATCTAATTTTTGGCTTTCATCATGACTTATTAAGGTTTCAGAATAGTGGTCTAGAGATTGAAATGGCCTTATTTATTCACTCACTAGGTACACAACACAGCAGTGACCAAGAAAATCCTACAAACCGACTCCAAACACAATGCAGGGGGGGTGGGCAGGGGGGTGACAACCCCCCATGCAGAGAGGCATCACAAATTCAGTGACTGGCCTCGACGGCAACCGCTGAGGTACAATGTTGGCTGCACATGCCACGTTTCATGAACACCTGGCTGCTAATAACTTAACCAAGACTAATGATTTGCTTCATACAGCCACTAATTGGTAATAATAATGCCACCACTAATTGGTTATAATAACTTTTGCTCAATGCTTCATTGCTCAAGGGGTGAAAAAGCCTGCACTCTGCTGCTGACCTGCATGAGCCATTCAAGCTGCAAATGAGCCCAGTACAATGCGTTACATGTGCCCAGCACTGCAGACACCCCTGAGACAGGAAAAATCTAAATAGTGAATTATAAGCTTGTTTTTATGGTATTATTCAACTTGGAAGGTCTGAGATAATGGGTGAATTCTATACCATCAGAGAAACTCAGTGTAGCTCACCCTTCTACAAGGGCATGGAGTGATGGGATAATGGGGAATGACCTCACACTGAAAGAGGGCAAATTTAGATTAGGTATTTGGAAAAAATTCTTCACTGTGAGGGTGGTGAGGCACTGGCACAGGTTGCTTAGAGAAGCTGTGGATGCCCCATCCCTGGAAGTGTTCAAGGCCAGGTTGGATGGGGCTTTCAGCAACCTGGTCTAGTGCCAAGGAACCCCATGACAGAGGGGATGGAACTAGATGATCTTTAAGGTTCCTTCAAAATCAAACCATGCTACCATTCTATGTTTCCCACCACCCTGGATGTCCCAGGGACCAAACCCCAAGCTGCAGGAGGGCAACACCGTTTTTTGCCCAGCAAGCAATAATTTAAATGGTGTATAATTTGGTTACATTTTCCCATCAAAGGGGAATTTGTCCCTGGTACAAAGCCAGCAGCACCAGTGATTTTTGCCAGCTGTCCCTGCTGGGTGCTGTGTACCTGATCACACAGCAGAAATGCTCTGTTCTGTTCCAGCTTGTGTTTGGCCAGAGCCCTGGTTGGAGCCGAAGGAGCAGAAGAATCAAGGAGCCAAGGCAATAAATCTAGATTCTTAAAAATTCCCCAGCTGGGACAATTCTGGCACATGAGTAAATAGGGTCGATTTTAATCATGCATATTTATAAGATAAATTTAACTTACGACCACACACATTTATTTTTTCATAAAGAAAACAGCAAAAGTGGAATAGAGTCAAGGCTTGATACAAATTATACTTCCAACAAGACACGAACCAACTCCAATTATTTACGTTTGTGTAAGTAAAGAGGTGCTGTACATGAGTTTACTCTACTCTCCCTCCATCCTATGGGAAGGAGAATTTCCCACACTGAACTGTAAGGCTGGATGCCAGCAATTATGTTTTGTTTTTTTTTAATTAGTATGTCTTGTCATAGCTCTTCTGAAGCTTTTCTCTGTGACCTATTGATATACACTGTACAAGAAACCTTCTGAGGGAACAAGTCAATTTTCACCCATAGAATCTGTAGGGAGAAAGCAGTTTACAGGAGTAACAACATACCATGTTTAACAACATCCTCAACATATTGCTTATGTTATCCTTCAGGGTAAGAGTAAATTAGAAACTCCTACATGCAGAGCTCTCATTATGGCCACATGAGAAGGAAACACTGCAAGCACAGGACATGTGTTGGCATATTGCCACAAGAACATCTGCCTGTAAAAAGTGGTCAGGGGGACATTTCCGAGTTAAGGTGTCTTGTTTTATGGAGAAGGGAGGATCATAGTGATGAAACGTGACTGTGTCTGGGCATGCCAGCTACACCCCTTGCTATTAAATCCTTGCTTTTAGGAATTAAAGGCTATCTACACTACTTTGTGATCTGTGCTGATCTCTGGAGAAGAGATGCTTAGAGAGGCTGCTTTTCAGTTGGACTCCATGATCTTAAATGATTCATTCCTCATCCTCTCCCTGATGTTAATAGTCAATAGCAACAGATGTCATTTTTCTGAGACATCTTTTGCAACCATTTCCTTTCTTTTTCCATGTTCTCTTTTGCCCTTTCTTCCTGCAAGTCGAGGTCCTCTTTCATATTTCCCCCCACTTGTCTTTTAAATTTTATTCTCAAAAGCTCATTTCTTTTTCTTAAAAAATAATTCATCAGTACTTTCTCCATACCTCCTCATGGTCTGACACTGCCCACCACTCTAA